TTGAAAATGCCGCATGGCTTCAACGAAGGTGAACTTTACTTTGCCGGCGAAAAATGGCGGATTCTGCCCCATCACAAATCCTATTTCGGGAAGGGTACACTGGACCCATGACTGATTCAAGGCCCCTGTGGTTCTAGAAAACTCTCCTGCTGATGGGGTAGTGGAGGAGGGTCGGGGGTGTAGACATCCTACATACATTAGTGACGGGGTCATAGCAACAAGGAAGTTGTTCCTTCCTGTTGCAGACAGGGTCAAGAGCAGACTCTTTGTTCCTTTGCAGAATTTTTCTGGATATGAGTCTAGAGGCATCGATAACCGGAACAGCATACATAGATGACTGGTTCCTCCCGATAGATATCTGGTACATACATCCATACCGCCGACCGGTACGGACAAAGCCCCCATACATCCAGTAATACCGACTCCGATACATCGTACAAGTCTCCAGCACAGGAACTTTCAGGTACCGAACCCAATACTAGTATGAAAAGCAGAGTTGCGGACTCCCTCCCATAATGGAAATGTGCAGTTGTGATGGACAATGGCTATGAATTCTGATCGGAAATAGTAACAACACTCTCACTGATTATTGCTATTATTAAGAATTGAGAAAGATTGAGTTTGGATTTGTCCCTCAAGATCCCCCGCCCTCATTTTTCCCCAACCGCCAATCCACACGTCCGCCCGTCGAAGTCGCCCCAAATGGCTTGGGGCCCGCGCACCCATCCGTCATAAGCTGAACAGTAATCTATCGTTCGCTCTTTAACTCCGTCACTACCGATCTGAGTTACCATTCTCAATATCCGACCCATTCATCTCTCTCTCTCTCTCTCTCTCTCTCTCCTCTTTCCACAGCCCCCCCCATTCGTGTCTGTCTCTCCTCCTCTCTCTCTTACTCTCTCGCCTTCCCCTTACAGAGTCATTTGGTTCTCACTTTCTAGACTTATAGCACCTAGATCCATTGACCGACCTCCTTCTTTGCTCGCTTGTTAAGGTTCCAACTTAGCCTGAATTTCCCCTGCGTACTTTACGGGGTGCCCCCACAGCTCTCGATTCCGCCGCCCGTTCACATTCCACCCCATTCCTCGTTCACACCCTCCAGCGCTTCTTTCTCTTCCTTCGGCTCTGGGACCTTCAAAACCTTATGCCTCACGCCGTTCCTTGTCATCTCAAGTAGTGGTTATCATCCGATCTACCAATTTCACTCCAATTGTCCTTTTCCCCTCCTCGCCGCTCACCGGTCCGCTTGTCGCATCATCCGTTCTTTTGCGCGTTGCCTACCCGACGCCTGTTCGGCCCCCCCAGCGGCCCTGCTGTCGGCTTCGCTTCAAAACCGTCAGATGAGGCTTGAAATCGCGGGTCAAGATCTTTCGTGACAATTATGGGGTCATTTCTAAGGAGTTTACGCAGAGATGTGGTGAGTGGTTTCGTTTGCCTCCCGGCCTTTACCTCGTTTCGCCATCGTGATATGGTCTCTTCTCTACGGTATCATAAAGGACATACCAAGGAAAGCAAGAAAGGAAAGAAAGAAGAACAAAAAGTAACAGAGAGAGAGAGACAAGAAGAGGAAAGAGAAAGGCTCTATCAAACACGTTCCTATCTGCCTGCGACAACTAAATGCTAATTCTCGATGTGTCCAGGGATCTCCCACACCCTCGGTTGGGGTGACTCCCGTAAAGAAAGAACCAATAGTGCCCCCGGTGACCCCTTTAGAGAAGATGCTCCAGGATATGGGTGCGATTCGCGAGGATGGGAGTGACAAGTTTTTCGGGATGGAAAATGTGAGTCTCTGGCTGTCGCGGTTCTTGAAATGCTATGTATTACGATGCTAATGCTATCTTCTATTTTTAGTACGGTAACACCTGGTAAGTCGATGTGTGCCTGATCTCGGGCAGCTTGCAGTTCGGAAGTGCGAAGCGGAGCATATTACTGACGTTCATCTCGCTAGCTATTGTAATTCGATCCTACAGTGCCTATATTATTCCGTTCCTTTTCGGGAGGCTGTCGTTAATTACCCGACCCGAACACCTATAGAGAGTCTGGAAGCAGCGCTGGCAAACACTCTTCGCTATCAAAACTTCGCCGCTAACTTGGAAGCCGAGGCGCTGGCCGAGAAACAGAAGGCTGCTAATGCTCAGCGCCCTGGAGCGCCTCCGAACCAACCGCAAAAACCAGAGGATAAAGACTCACCTGAATACAAAAAGAAAATGGCATTACAAACGCTGCCACTCTTGGAGACTACGAACAACGCAGCCAGCTATGGAATGTCAGAGTCACTCTTTACGTCATTGAAAGACTTATTCGAGTCTGTTGTTGCAAGCCAATCGCGGATAGGTATTATCCGACCACAGCACTTCCTGGATGTTCTCCGACGCGAACACGAAATGTTTCGGACTGCCATGCACCAAGACGCCCATGAATTCCTGAACCTACTTCTCAATGAAGTTGTTGCGAATGTGGAGGCAGAGGCATCTAAACAACCTGAACCAGAGAAGACTCTTCCTGCAGCGGAAGGCACCGACTTGACTGAGATATCGGGAAGCTCTGGCTCGAAAACACCCAACACTACTCGCTGGGTGCATGAATTATTTGAAGGGACTTTGACATCGGAAACACAGTGTTTAACTTGCGAGAAGGTTTCGCAACGCGACGAAGTTTTCTTGGACCTGTCGGTAGATCTTGAACAGCACTCGTCCGTTACGTCATGTTTGAGAAAGTTCTCAGCGGAGGAGATGCTTTGCGAAAGAAACAAGTTCCACTGCGATAACTGCGGTGGTCTTCAAGAGGCTGAAAAGAGGATGAAAATCAAGCGCCTGCCTCGGATTCTGGCCCTGCATCTCAAACGATTCAAATATACCGAAGACCTGCAACGACTTCAAAAGCTATTCCATAGAGTTGTATATCCCTATCATCTCCGCCTTTTCAACACGACAGACGATGCGGAGGACCCAGATCGTTTGTACGAGCTATATGCGGTGGTGGTGCATATTGGTGGCGGGCCATATCATGGACACTATGTCGCCATTATTAAAACACAGGATCGGGGATGGTTGCTGTTTGACGATGAGATGGTAGAGCCTGTGGACAAGAACTATGTCCGTAATTTCTTCGGCGACCGGCCTGGTCTCGCCTGCGCCTACGTCCTATTCTATCAAGAGACCACACTCGAGGCGGTTATGAAAGAACAAGAGCAAGAAAACATGGACTTAAACACAAACCTCGCTGATATGAACGACTCAACCTTAAAACAGAATGGTTATCCCCTATCTCCAGGGTTGGCCCATGTTCACAGTGCATCTCAGATACCTTCAACCAGCGAACCTGCCCGATTCAGCAATCTCCAACGGGCCCCTACTGCGCCTCCTTTGTTCCCTCACCCGGAACATACAGACTCTGAAAGCGGTTTCGTAGATCCTTCGACTACTGCATCTACCATCCCGCCTGTTCCTCCCATACCGGACACGCATTCTCTGCCTCTCAGCCCGAAGAAGAGTGATTCTCATTTCAAAAAGGAACGGGCCAAAGAGGAAAAGGAGCGAAAAGCAAACGAAAAAGAAAAAGAGAAACAGCGCCGGAAGGAACAGGAAGCGAGAATCAGAGAACAGCGACGAGAGGATGCTGAAATCAGAGCTGCGCTCGAGGCGAGCAAAGTGTCCAAGGCCGATGAGGATCGCCGGAATTCCCCTGATGACCCCAAGAAGCTAAGCGGTGGTTTGAGCCGTCTGAAGCGCGGTAGCAAGAGCTTCAGCCATCGGCTCGGCAAAGATAAAGAGAATCGAGTTCCGTCCTCCGGTCATTCGGCCACACCAACATCTATTGCGGAACACCCGCCGTCAAGAAATGGGGCCTCCGAATCACAGCAAAAACTACCCAACGGCCAGCCCCCGGCTTCTCATGGCTTACACACTAGGCATACAGGACTGGATGAAGAGCGGGATACGCTCAAAGACCCTAAACACGACAGAAGTGGACACCATGGAAAATGGAGGAGTTTCAGCCTCAAGAAGAAGTCATTTAGCATTCTTTCGTGAGCTTCCTCTCGTCCCGGTAACTCGACCAGTATCGGCGATAATTTTCTGCACATAGAATGCGCATTTTCCGTACATATTTCGATGTATCATCACCTTTATCTTCATACCGGTTGTATGGATCATCCAGCGGCGTATTTCACAGTTCCGCGCATCTTATGGCACGGATGCCATAGAAACCGGTTACGTCTTACTTCTCCGCGCGTTTTTGCTTATATTCGCATACGATGCATTTCATTTGCTTGTTGCTTTAGCCACCACTCTATATTTTCGATTCATCAACTTTGTGATACCCGTGCCTGGGTCACATAGCTGGGCAAATGAGGCGTTTGGCGAGTATATTTCTGTTTTCTATTGATTTTCATATGAGCCGGCAATCTATGGCAAGGGGTTCAGGTCTGTTCAGGTTAGGGGAACGGTGTGCAAATTTTGAAAAAAAAGAACAGCAGAGCATTTCACTGTACTGTAGGTCGGATGGGCTACATGTCCATCCTTTCGCCATGTATATCGTGTTCAATTACTCCAGGGGGGTGTCCACACAAATAGACAGCGTTGCACAGCACGATGCAGGAATCTCAGTGTAAACTAGTGGCATATTCTCCTTCAAGTCGCTGCGTGAACCTTGTACATAGTGAATTCAGGTGTACATATATGTAGTGTATCATTTGAAGCTTTTTCAGGCAAGTCATGTTCTCACATGAATAAACCCCAGAAAAAGAAGTGAGGAAATATTTTATAGAAACAACCATTTGCTCATATAGTCACATTGCAACGAGAGAACACCACTTCCAGGCCGCAGACGTCCCATCCCAGCCAATCAGGAACAGAACCAGCCCCATTCTCGAGTGTAGTCCGCCGCAATCTCCATCGCCCAGCTACCTAAAGCCCGCATATGCTTCTCTGCATGTGACTCTTAGATCGACACTCGTGCGTCGTTTCTCTCGGCAATAAATCTGACAGCGAAGTCAAACGCTCACTTGTTATTCAGATAGGTTCGAAGATATGGGGCGTTGCAACAAAGCAATGCATTTCCAGCTGGCAGGAAGTCCGGTCGATAGACTCAATCAAAGAAAAAACTCCGCAGGAACCAAAACAAAGCAACACGATCGCTCAACCGAGAATAATCGAATATATGATGATTATAGTATTTATCACGATAAGGGGTACTAGCGCGCAGACCAATCATTAGCGCTTAATCTCAGAACAGGTATATAGAGATGGCCCCGAGCTCTTCATCTCAGCCGAGCCAGGCGGGTAGATAGGTAGGTAGGTAGGTAGGATATCCACAACATACTTCGCATAACAGTCCGCACACTAGCGATCAGATCGACCGTTTTCGCCTTGACGCTGGTACTATCGTGTGATGTGCCGAAGGCAGGGTCGGCTTGACTGCGACCCCATCCGACTGTGTAGAGGTTATTTGGTTAGCTGGGCGTTTCGCTTTTGCTTGTGAGGGGGGAGGGCGAGGTTTTATCGACTCGACGTACTTCTGGCGAGGAAGCGGTCTTCGCTTAGGATTGCGATTGCGTTTGTTATTAGGACGGCGACGTAGACGAGGCGTCCGAGGCCGAAGAGGAACATTTTGGACGGTGGTGTTGGTGTGTTGTTGGTGCGGAGTTGGGTTGGAGAAAGTGAGAGAGGTGTTCTTGGTCGGTCGATAACGATAAATGGTCCGCGGACACGGGACGTGGAGAGCCAAGACTGCGTTGATGTGGTTGGTTGGGAGGCTTGAGTTGGGGCCACTTTCTTAGCTTTTTTGTACTATTATTGTTAGAGTTAAGTGGTTTGGGCTTGGATACTGTAGGTGAATGATGTTTGCTGGGTCTGTTGCTTCATTGTGAAGGTCTTCTTGCTTCTGTTGGTTCTGATACTACAAGACATACTGGCTCCATCTTCAAACAAGCACAATTACATTAGTTGATGCTTCTTTCCATTCATTCTCTTAAGTACAGACTATGTTGCCCGATTCCATACAAAGTAGAATGCGAGTAGTCACTTTGAGGTGAAGCACACAGTCTTTGGGAGGTTAGAGGTAGTAGTAACCTAGGGAAGGGTTCGTCAGAGAAATAGTTATATATCACACACGTTGTCTGTCATTCAGAATCCCCATACACATCCAATTCTATGGCGTCGATACTCCGTGTCTCTCTCCAGGACTCGGGGGTGAAGCGACACGTGGTTGAAACACTTGCTGAACTGGGTATATGTCAATCGTATACCGCTGGAAATAGGCTCCTCAAAGAGATAGCTAAAAGTCAGGCGGTCTAGTCTTCGATCTACCGCATGTTCAACTATACGACTTTCATGCTATGTATAACTAGTTCGTAACTATAGTTAGTTAGTAGTTGACTAGGAACAAATGCTTAGTCATAGTACTGAACCACATCTGAGATCGCTTGTATGATCTCGTAGCAGTAACTCGACCAAGTAGGGCCTTTAAACTTTTGGAAAGCGCTGAAAATTGTGCCTGCCGTAGTAGATATTGTAGATCAGTCTTGGTGATACCACCTGGATGGGGTGTCGTGAAGCACCTGAGGCACTCCGGAAAATGTGACCCAGGGATTCTGCCGCCTGCGTGATCGGTCTACGTATGCTTCTACTACCTAGTAAACCACCGTCAACTCCACCGGAGGCACAATGGGGAAAGCTGATGCTGGTAGGGTTTGTCTTTAACTCCATCAGTATAATTGCTAATTGCTAATTGCCACTGCTCTGCCCAGCCTTCATACTGCTTCTTGGCGCCATCCCAGCGCTCATACTCCTCCACCTTTACCTGGCTCCCTACACCAAGGTAGAGGAGTCTTTCCATGTGCAAGCCATTCATGACATTCTCTCCTATGGCATCCCAACTCAAAATGTTGCCGAGACTCTACGCGCCAAATATGATCATTTCACCTTTCCCGGTGCTGTGCCTCGGACATTCGTCGGAGCTGCTGTCCTGTCTGCATTATCGCAGCCATTCATCTGGTTGAATGATACGATTGACCGGCAACTACTCGGTAGGAAAGCCTTCGTATAGCCGCTCTGTAACGCTCTCACTAATGCTGTAAATTCAGCACGAGCTATTCTGGGCCTGTTCAATGCTCTGTCTTTGCTCTCCTTCGCATTTGGACTGCGACGAGCTTTCGGGAAGACTACAGCGATCTGGTACCTGCTCTATCAGGCAAGCCAATTCCATGTGCTTTACTATGCATCGCGGACACTGTCCAACATGTTCGCTTTCGGGTTATCCACCCTAGCGCTGCGGTACCTTCTCCAGGACCATTCCCAGTTAGCAGCCCCGAAGACGTATAGAAACCGGTGTCGTTTATCCCTATGCCTGTTGACCATAGCCGGTATTATCTTCCGTTCGGAGCTGGCTCTCTTCCTTGCCACAAACACCATCTTTCTTTTCCTTACAGGACACATCGGCATCCAGCGGGAGATAATCCCAGCCGGGCTACTAGGCCTGCTCCTCGGCTTAGGGTCGACCGTACTCGTGGATTCCTACTTCTGGCAAAAGTATCCCCTATGGCCAGAGCTAGAAGCTTTCATATTCAACGTCATCCACGGCCAATCATCTGCCTGGGGCACACATCCATGGCACTTCTACTTCACCAACGCCATCCCTCGCCTCCTACTCAACCCTCTGGTCTATCTAGTCGGGCTCCCGTTCGCTCTCTTCCAGCCATCAACCCGATCTGCAGCAGCATACCTGCTCATCCCATCACTTACCTTCATAGCCATCTACAGCATCCAACCTCACAAGGAATGGCGTTTCATTGTCTACGCTATCCCCCCACTAACCGCCGCCTCCGCCCTGGGAGCGTCCTACATCTGGACGCACCGGACCAAATCCCTCCTCTACCGGCTGCTCTCCCTGGCCATGATCCTATCCACCCTCACCTCATTCCTCTGCTCAACTTTCATCCTGCTCCCCGCCTCCTCCGCAAACTACCCAGGCGCACACGCCCTCCAATCTCTCCACAGTCACGCCCACAGCACAAAACCCATCATCTCCGTCCACCTAGGCAACCTCGCGTGCCAAACAGGCGTCACCCGTTTCCTTGAAATGCCCAATTCACCAGACAACTCAACTCCCACCTGGACATACGACAAAACTGAAAACGAAACCCTCAAATCCACGTCTTCCTTCTGGACCCAGTTCGACTATCTCCTCATCGAACCGGGGGAAGAGGAATCGAAGGTCCGGTCTCTCTCTGGACCAGATCATTGGGAAGACGTGGATGTCATCGAGGGGTTCGCGGGTCTGAGGATCGTTCGGCCTGGTGAACAGGCCGTGGGTGCAGTTGAGGAGCGGGTTCTCACAAAGTTTGTTGGTGAAGATGGTGCCCGGGTTTGGAGAGCTGGTCGGGAGTTTGCTCGTCGGACTGTTACGCGGGGCTGGTGGGTTGAGGTGAGGATGGATCCAAAGATTAAGATTTTGGGGCGGGTTTCTGTTTAAATATTTTTGTTTTGAGTTTCTTGTTCTATACTTGTATCGTTTGGTGTGGATTTGGTTGAATATGTGTTTCACTCCATATCTTATTGTCTAATGGAAATGTAGCAGCTAGCGCGCATACTTGCACGGAAGCGTGTATCAGAGCTATGTATGGGCCGAATTCTCCAAGTACCATTCGACCAACAATGCAATACATTTAGAACGAGACAAGGGTGACAGCAAGCATCCGCTAGCTTTGTATGCAAATATGAACATTAGAAGAATCCTAAAGCAAAACTTGGGTATTTCCATCATTCCAACAAAGCCCCCGTTCCATCATGCCTCCTTACTTTCCAACCGACCCAATCTACCCTCCAGATCACGCACCCAGGGCTCAACCAGTGCAATATTGCTCTTTAGAGCTGCCTCTCCCTGGTCCATCTTTTCCTCGACAACATGCAGCCCCTCGCGCCATTGGTCGATTTCCCGCGCCATATCGGCTTGGCGTCGTTCCAGCTCGTCAAGGGATTCGGAGGCTTGAGCGGCGCCTGCGTGGATGGCGCGGAGAGAGCGAAGTCGTTCCAGGACGCTGGGCAGAATGGGATGGAGGGATTGGATGGTTGGTAGGGTAGCGTAGAGAGCTTGGATCTTCGTGGCTTGCTCATCGCGTTGGGTCGCTGCGGGGTCGACTTCTGTGGCGGATGAGGTGGACACGGACATGTCGGAGGGTTCGAGAGCTGCGGAGGCGATGCGGGCATTTTGCGCGGCCTTGGCTGCATCAACGGCGCGCTTGCGTGCGGATGCAAGGGCCTCAGTGTCGGCGGTTAGCTTTCTCACGCGGGTCGACAGGTTCTCGAGATGAGGTGTCGAAACTGTTGTTGAGGGTAGAGCGGAACCTATTGTCGGGACCGCCGAGACAGGAGCTGGGCCGACGAGAATGTTCATTAGAGTGGTCAGACGGGACGTCAGGTGGTCTAGCGCCGGTAGAACGGGTTGGAGTGGTACATCCGAGCTCCCATCGGGGATGAAGGGGTTTGAGGAGCTGGAGATGCCCATCGCAGCCTCAACAAGCGCTAGCCGGCCGTCAAAGGCCGCAGCGTGCGCCAGAACACCGGAAGATGGAGCACTAGGGGGAGTCGTCTTTTTCTCCACCTTCTCGGCTGGTCCATCCGGCTTGTCAGGGTCATCGGGGGCTGTTTCAGAGATCTTTTTGGATAGTATCGCGGCTGCCGAGTGCGGCCCGGATGCGCTCCGGGAGGAGGCGTAGAGGTTATCCAATGCCCGGCTCAACTCTAGGACCCCGTCGTTCAGTCCCTCCTTGTGCTCTGCCTGGGGTTCATTGGACTCTGATCCAGTTTGGCGGGAAGCCATCTCATCCTTCAATTCCTCTACTTCTCTGCGAAGACGAGCAAGTCTTCGGTCCAACCCTTCATCTTCGCTGTCGCTGAAGTCCCCTACTTCTTCCAAGCCATTCTCGTCTCTCCGGCGTCTGCGACTCTTGCTTCTATATGCTTTCCGTTTTGTAGCGATACTGTCGGAGAAATTGACTTCGCGCGCATCAACGGTGGCCCCGAGGAAGTGAGCGCGCGCCTCGTCCGCATTGATGCCTTGGCGGTCAATATCGGGGTTGGAGCCAGCATCATCATCAGGGTTGGAATTGGTGCGGATTGTTGCAGTCTGAATGTGATAGATATAATTACGTGGTCAGAGGGCAGATCCATATGTCAGTAGTTTAGATGTGGTAGCTAACCGGTACGGTGGACGCTTCATCGGTCAGATCGGGAGTCTCGTAGATATCAGGCGCGAGGTCCTACGCTCACAGCCATGGGTTAGTGGCACGGTAAACGTGATGACATGGCGATACTGGCGTGAGGGAGAGGTGATTTACCAGATCCGGAAGCCCCGCATATTTCTTATTGAAAGCCATGATCCGCCGATGCACTGACTGGGGGGCAGAGTGTTTGGTTGGAGCATCTCGGAGGGACTCCTGTAAACTAAGTGTAAACTATGGGAACCAGGACGAATGGCGGTGGGTCTCCGCGTTGGCACGTGAAAGGGGCAATTGCCCTTTTGGGCCTGAGGCAGTGAACCATTTTTGAACCACAAGACGGAGTACGGAGTAATTGTCGTCACTGCTACTAGTAGTAATATCCTAGTAGAAGACAGTACATGCACAAATACGTAATGACTATGGTGACATTTGAGCTTCACATGACACTAGGGTCGTGTGGCAGCATTTCCATGAAAGATGCAGATAACACTTATGTTTTCCCCATGGGACGCTCCGTGCTAAAACAGGCATCTTTGTTTCAACATTGGTTTGGCAATTGGCGCCAAGCAGGTTTCTTGACCAGTCGAAAGCCATGGCGTCGAGAAGGTATATTAAAAGTACGGCGTTCGACGCAGGAGAAGAAGAAGAAAGAACACATGCACGTGGTAACAGCCTCGGAGGTTGACATTCTGGGCAGGTCATACCTAATCGGGTAGTTTGTGGAGGACGTGACTGGAACGCTGCGGAAAGGCACATGAATGTGACTTCCCTGACTTCAATCTATTTAAATACCCTCTACTTATAATCTCTCACCACCCAGTAGTTCCCTCAGTCTATTATCACCTGCGTTCTCCTCAGCACTACCTGCTGTTGCCTTTCATTATCCTTCTTCTTTTCTTGACTTGTATACTCATATCTCTTATCTAACCTACCCCGCATCACCATGGCTGCCCCCGCAGATATCACCATCAAGGACCTCAGTGGAGAGTGGACGATGGTATGTACAAGTCCTTTCTAATCTGATTCTGGAACCCTCCAAGTTCAAGGAGAGTTTCGCCGCGATCGAGTCTGACCCTTGTGCGTTTGCAGGACAAAACCCTCTCCAACCCCACTGAGCCTATTCTGGCCCTGGTAAGTGATCCACAAGCAAAGGCCTATCTAGCCTTGACTCAAGAAAATTGCTGACATCGTTGTGATTAGCAAGGAATGGGCTGGATGAAGCGTAAGGCTCTCAACATCGCAACCGTCACCCTTTCGGTCCACCAACACGCCGACGAGAAGGACCCCAAGGTCCTACACGTCAAGATCGAACAAACAGTCACTGGAGGTATCCCTGGCACAACCGAATACCGTATCACCGACTGGGAAGGACGGGAGCACGAAGACCATGTCTTCGGCAATGTCAGAGGCCAATCCCGCTTGATTCGGGGCTCGAAGGGCGACGATGGAAAGTTCCGCCCTAATGTGGAAATCGCTACCAAGACCGATGACGAGGATGTGAAGAAGTTCTTGAAGGGCGAGATTCTGGCTGATGGCAAGGACACTGAGGGCTTCGTTGCCGACAACGTCGGTGAAGAGTATGGTGAGGGCGAGGGTCTTTTCCTCCAGAGCTTTGTACAGAACCTGGACAGCAACGGCGGCTGGACTGCCGAGCAGGTGCGTATTCCCGCCTACTATACATTTGCACGATACCACTGCGGATACTAACCTTGACTCCTTAGATCTGGGGCTTCGAATTGATCGATGGAAAGCGTTACTACACTCGTCGTGTTGTCGTTGCCAAGGAGGGCAAATATGAAAAGGCCCGCTTTGTGTACACCTTCATCAAGCGCAGGGGAGAGTAGATGTCATTTGCATTAGCGTTGAATGAATTTCCTTATCATTAGCCTTCAGTTGTCTAGACTAGATCGGGTTTGACTCCGAGACTTGGGTTCAATCCAGCTCCACATCAACATCAGCCACAGCTGTTCCTGCCTCAGTAAATAAACCGTTACATATTTTTACATCCTGAACTGGCTCACTACTGTAGCGTACAAGTCACAGTGGGTACAAAGTAATGGCATTGATATCATTTTGACTAGTATCCCGCAAGGCAGGCACTGGTTGGAGTACTCGCCTGTAATTGCAGACCAAGTACCCGCATTCCTTAGGGTATATTCATAGTATTTTCATCGCCGAAATGAGAACAAGAGGGACAAGGACAATTTCCTTCAAAGAAGAACCAACATTACAAGACACCCTGAAACTCGATAGACTTCATTATTTTAAAACTTCGCGGTCAATTTAGTGGTGAGTGGGCATCACAACATGCGCCTTGGTGCTGACAGCATCCTCACTCCGCCACAAGCTCGTCACGGTCTTCTGCTGAGTGTAGAACTGCAAGCCAGGCTTGCCGTAGAAGGTGTTAGCGCCACCGCCGGCGATACTCTTCTTGTTGCCAGTGAAGGAGAACATGGGGAGAGGGACGGGGATGGGGACATTGATGCCAATTTGTCCGGCCTCAATGTCCTTCTGGAAGCGTGACGCAGTAGAACCGGAGCAAGTGAAGATGGCAGCTCCATTGCCATATTCATTCTTGTTGATAAGGTCGACGGCATCCTCAAGAGTGGGGACGCTAAGACAGACCAGAACAGGACCGAAGATCTCTTCCTTGTAGCAGGTCATCTCGGGGGTGACATTCGTGATGATAGTGGGCCCGACCTTGAGAAGCACAGTTTGTCAGCAATGGCGTCATCATTGATGAAAGGATGAAATGGTTCACTTACAAAGTTGCCGTTGGGGTACTTCTCAGGCTTGTAGCCCCTTCCATCCAAAAGGATCGTTGCGCCCTCCTTCTCAGCACTGGCAATCAAATCTTCGATGCGCTTCTTGCTCTCCGGGCTGATAACAGGGCCAAGATCGGCTCCCTCTTCAAATCCGCCGTTGACATTCAATGCCTTGGCACGCTCTGCGATCTCAGGGAGCCATTCCTTGGTCTCGCCAACCATGACCACAGTGCTCAAGGCCATGCAGCGCTGGCCAGCAGCGCCAAAAGCTGCTCCCACGATGGCATTCAAGGTGTGGTTCTTGTTGCAGTCGGGAAGGACAGCGGCATGGTTCTTGGCTCCCAGATTGGCCTGGACACGCTTGCCATTGGCAGAACCCCGAGTGTAGATGTACTCACCAGCACGGTTGCTACCGACAAAGCTGATTGCCTTGATGGCAGGCTCATCAAGGATGAAGTCAACGGTCTTCGCGGAGCCATGGACGATGTTGACGACACCAGCGGGGAAGCCAGCTTCCTTAGCCAGCTCCGCCAAGATCATCGCAGCGCCGGGGTCGCGCTCCGACGGCTTAAGGACTAGACAGTTACCCGTGATGGTAGCAATGGGAATGCACCAAAGAGGAATCATTGCGGGGAAATCTGTGGGGGAGCGGTTAGCCTCGGAGGGAAGAGCGGTGGATCGTCCATGAAGCAAGGGGACGCTTACTGAAGGGGCAAATAGCTGCTACAACACCCAGGGGCTCCCTGTAGCTTCTGGTCTCCATATCTTTAGCAACTTCCAGCACTTCTCCTGTAAGCTGCGTAGTGATGCCACAGGCGGTCTCGGCAACCTGCAAGCCACGGAGAACATCACCCTTGGCATCGGCAAAAGTCTTGCCCTGTTCGAGAGTGATAGACGCCGCGAGACGGTCCCAGTTGGCACGAATCAGACTGACGAACTTGAACATGATCTGCTGCCTGGCAATCACGCTCATTGCCCGCCATGCTGGGAATGCCTTCTCGGCGGACTCAACCGCCGCCCGCAGTTCCTCATCGGTACTTTGAGGGACACGGGTGACGAGATTGTTGGTGGCGGGGTCATGGAGGTCGATCCAAGTCGTAGCCTTCGAGGCGACAAACTCGTTGTCCAGAAAGTTGGCCGTATCAATGGGGTTAGCAATGGGATTGTGGTCCGTCGGGTACTCGGTAGCGGTTGTAGCCGCGGAAGTGGTTGCGGGGGTCATTTGGCGGGCGGTGGCGTGCAGTCTGCGCGCAGCAACGTTGGAAGCGGGAGAGGAAGAAACTACAGAGGAAGCTCGACGAGCAAGAGCTGAAGAGGAAGACATCGAGGCAGTCATTAGAGAACGCGATGTTGCTGACCTGGCAGACGATGCGTTGGCAAGACTCGTGCGGGGAGATGCAGCGCGGAGTGTGGGGAGAGAACGTGCAAGGGACCGGCGGGCGGCCATGGTGACAGAGAGCTCAAAGGAGGATATATAGGTAGAGAGTAAAGAATAGAAGAAGCAATTAATGGATAGGATGATGCGTGAAAGAATAGACTACTGAGAAGGGGGGAAGGGGTCATAAATAGTAATCAGCTACCAAGGGGAAAGAGGAATGGTATAGTATATGTACTCCGATACAGGTGCCGCTGCTTTTGTGAGGAACACCTCGGGGGGTGACCCGAGGACGCTCTGAGCACGCGCCAGTGACCCCGGATTACTCGCCGAGTACCTTTTGTTGCTCAGCTTTCTGCCATCGAACAGTTCCATGTGACAGCTGTCAACTCTGGGAACGATCAGGGCACGCACCTGCTACATTCAGCCACGGCCAACCTTGCTCGATGAGCAAAAAGCGGCGGCATTTGGAACCGAATCTAGACTTCAAAGTGCTCACTCCTTTCTCCGTTTTGGAGAATCGATCCCAAGGATTTCCCGATACGATCGCCGATGGCAACCGATAACGCTTCTCGGCGCTATGGGCCAATCATTAACTCCACCCAGGAGCTACTTGCCGAATTGAATGCAACCAAAGGAATTAAGTTCAATCGTACTAGTAAGGATTTCCCCGCGGAGTATGAATCGATGGTGTTTGCTTGCCGGAGACCATTTTACATCGTCTGCTGTTTTCCAGATCTGGAGATGAAGAGGTTCAATCGCATTAGGTTTGAACATCAAGGAGCCACTGTTGTACTTCTGTTTTTTTTCTTTTCTTTTAATTCTGCGATTCCGACTCGTCTTCTTTCTAATGGTCAGTAGTGTGTATAGTATAGTGTTCATTGCGTCCTTATTTGAGCATCGGACAGCGAGGGATACTGTTCGAAGCAGGATTTCTTTATGGTATGGGTAGAAGGCTGGTCGGTTGCTATATTAAGAACAAAGGATCAAGGATTGGCCCTCAATTACTTCAGATTATTATAGACACGTATATACGATCCGGCGAAAAGGGCCATGCATTCCTAATTCACAAGACAATAATACAGCGGATATTTTGAGGGTAGCCGTAACGGTTTTCAAAGTAAGGAACAAGGCTACTCTACAAGCTCCAGCAGAAACAGTTCCCCCTCTCTGCATGCTCTCATATCTCATCAAAAGTGGTATGATTCCCTCAACGTTTACCACAGAAGACTGTTGGTTGAACGTGCAATGCACGTCGGGTATGATGTCAAAATTGAAAATGTCTGGGTTTAACTTTATTTGCTTCTTCCTACGCTCGTCCTCACTTTCTCACGGGTATCATATCACAAATTTACTGAGCAGAAGAACGGGTGGTACGCTTGCTGGCGCCGCCCTTGGCCGTGTCCGCAGAGCTGCTGACAGCCTCGCTAGCCTTCTCCTTGGCAGCACCTGCGGCCTCCTTACCCTTCTTGACAGGGGCGGGGGCGGGGCTGCTGGCCTTGATGGCACCCACGATGATGAGGACCATCGAGAGAAGCAGGGCTCCCAAAGTACCGGCGACCTCAGGAGCTTGCTTAACAGCGTTCACAGGGTCCTCCTTGGCAAGTCCAACAAAGTGGTCGACCTTCTCACGGACGAAAGTGACGGGGTCTTCCTTGAAGCTAACACTAGTGGCAGGGGCAGTCTCCTCCTTCTTGGGCTTGGAAGCCTCCTCCTCGGCAACTTCAACAGGGTGCTTGACATCGAAGGTCTCCTTGCGGAGCTTCTCAGCATCCTCGGCGGAGTGACCAATGTAGATGTTGTCGAACAGGATGTCGTTCTGCATAGTCCAGATTTCAAAGCCAATCTAGGGAGCGTTAGCTATATGAGACGCAAATAACCCTAGAAGAGAGGTACTTACAGCGCCCATAGGCTCGAAGTTGGAGGGGGTCTTATCTTCGAAGTAAGCCGGGTTGGCGATCTTGCGGGGAGCCCAGGGGCCTTGTAGGCGGGGTTGTCGATCATAGGAGCAGTCCACTTGCCCTTGAAGGCAGGGTTCTTCTTCATCGGAGGGCTCCAAGGGCCACATCCAGAGACGTCGCTGCACTTGGGGTTGGGAACAGTGGGGGAATCCAATCGCCATCCTCTTCATCGTCCCAGTCCTCAGGCTTCTCGGCCTCGGGGTCGGGGATGCTGGTGGATTCCTCCTCAAGCCAGTCCTCGGGCTTGGTGGCTTCCTCGTCAACAATCTCGTAGGGGGCCTCCTCATCCCAGTCCTCAGGCTTGGTGGCCTCAGGGTCGGGGATCTTGACATCGTCAACCCAATCGGCGGGCTTCTTATCCTTGGGGTCATCGATCTCCTTCTCGGGGTTGACAGGAGGGTTGAAGTCCTCAAGCAAGGTGCCGTTCTTGACAGCCTCGCCATCAATGAGGATCTGGAAAGACTGGTCGGGACGAACAATCAAGGTGTACAAGGAAGTGACCTTGTTGGTGCGAGCAGCAGGAGGAGCCTTGAGGTGCTTCTCCTCGTACTCACCAGTCTTGGGGTTCTTGTGGCGGAAGATAAAGTGGACCTGATGATATATGAGTCGTAACTCAGAGAGAGGTGACGGAGAAGAATTTCCGATAACGTACCTTGTTGGTAGCACCGCACTTGTCGGGACCGAACATGATAACATAGGGGGTGGCGTTGGAGAACTCCTCGGCGTGGAGCTTCTTGTTCTCCTGTAGAAGCTTAAGGTAGGCACCACCGCAAACGAGGGAGTCTGCCAGGATGTAGATTAGACACTGAATGTTTAGCAGCTGTGGGGAGACAAAGCTTACTCTGAGGCTTGACCTCATACTGGACAACCAAGGTCTTCCCCTTGTTGTCAATCTTCTTGGGGAATTTCGCCGAGATGGCATGGTGAGCGGCAGGGTTCTTCACAACGAGACCCTTGTCTCCGTCGATGCCCTTGAAGACCGTGGGTTCCTCAACGGACCATTCACCGACGTAGGCCCAGTCCTCTTCCGTTTGGGAGTCATCCTTCTTCGCGTGAGATGGTGTCCACCGAGATTCCCAGTCATCGGTGAATTGCTCGAGGAAAGGAGCTTTGAGGGTGGTAGGCTAAAGCGCTGTCAGCAAGCCGCGCAGGGACCAGGCGCATACACAACAAGGGGATAACCTACGGTGAAAGTTGGCTTCTCTACGACAGAGGTAGCATCGGGGTTCTTCTCGGCCTCCTCAGCATGAGCATAGCCCATGAGAGTGGCCGAAGAAACCAAAGCGGAAGCAACAGCTGCGTTGAAACGCATGATGAATGATAACGGGCGCTCAAACTAAGAAGCCCGACTCGGTAGTAGCTTTAGGAAAGAAAGAAACAAATAAGCAAACGTTCAAGCAATTGATCCTCCGTAGAGGTTCGAAGGGGGAAAAGAATGTCCAGATGGAAGCGTACCACAAACTAACCGCACGACGGAAGGAAGAAGGGAGAAGAGGAGAAAGAGAAGACCGGTGTTGGGGAGGTTGATTATATGAAGCTGGGAAGGTAGCTTAAGTTCAATCTGGCCTCTTCCGCTGCCGCTTGCCCCTTGGGGTAAAGTTCCACCAGCCCAAACAGGATTAGTGGCAGATTCTCTAATGTTCTATTCATTGATTCTAAGAACCGTTTCATTGCTTTATTTTTGGGCTCTTCATTCTTTTACTTGGTAGTCACGGTCTTAGCTGTCATATACTTACCCCAAACATGATGATCACTCTTCGAATATTGAATTTCAATCCAACCAATGTAAATATTCAATATAGTTATATTTATATAAAATGAGAATTTTTCTCTTCTTCTTTTTTTTCTTAATTTTGTGAGTATTTGCAGGTCTCGTATACTAACTATCCTTGCAGATGCCGATTGCGCGATCTTCCCGCTACTACTAGTCAATTGATCCATATCCAGAAAAAAAATTGGAGTTCTTCAAGTTGCCCCTCTCCCCGCCAACGTTCTCTTTTCCTCCTCACTTCCTTTCGCAAAACTTCAAACCACAACGATTCTGAGTGTCAACTCCAATTTTCTTACCTCTTTTAGTCTGAGGAGAGTGCCCTTTGTTCATTTCTCGTTCTTTGTCTGGCTCTTACGTCCCCAATCCATCCATCCCGTCTCTTGAACCCCACTTGACCAGTCAGCGCGTCATGGCCCAGCAGGTCGAGAACACCGACAATGACCATCTGGTCCAATCTTCCGACCCGGAGCACCCATCAAACTTGATCCCTGAACTCTGTCGTAAATTCTACAACTGGGGATGGGTCACTGGCACTGGTGGTGGTGTAGGTGATCAATCGTATCGGGTATTGAGATAGTCCATGGAAACTGATCCGATGTAGACTTCTATCCGACGCGATGACCACATCTTCATTGCGCCGTCTGGTGTGCAGAAGGAATTAATGAAGCCAGAGAACATCTTCGTTCTCCAGTTCCCCACCCCCAAATATCCCCCCTCCGAGCGCAAATATATCCGCAAGCCACTCGACCTGAAGCCATCGGCCTGCACTCCTCTGTTCCTGGCGGCCTTTGAGCGTGGTGCTGGCTGCTGCATCCACACCCACTCCCAGTGGGCCGTCTTGGTGACGCTTCTAGTGGAACGTGAAAAGGGTCCCGGAGGCTACTTTGAGATCAGCAACATTGAACAGATCAAGGGTATCCCTCGCGGCAAGGGCAAGGGCATGCTGGGCTTCTTTGATACTCTGAGAATCCCAATCATTGAGAACACCGCCTTCGAGGAGGATCTCACTGGAAGCTTGGAGAAGGCCATGGAGGAGAACCCCGACACCTGCGCCGTTCTTGTGAGAAGACATGGAATGTGAGTATTAACCAGTCCCTCTTGTGGCAGCCGTGGGAATCTAACGGGTTGTGTAGTTACGTCTGGGGGGATGATGTTGCCAAGGCCAAGACTCAATGTGAAAGCTTGGATTATCTGTTCCAGCTTGCGGTGGAGATGCACAAGCTCGGTATCCCATGGGTTAAGGAATAAATGAGTTATATATGCAAAGGGCTTGATCTCTGTCATTGAGGACCTTGGGGGAGTGTGTGTCGAGTCCACTAGGTTGAGGCGCTATGTCCTGAAGATACCACCATTATGATGATGATTTGATATATTAGGAAAAGAAAATATATGCATTAAAGGAGCGTTATAGGATTTAAGCCTATATTTGAATATACCTTCGAGCCTAATTTCTGCTGCAGCTTATCCCTATCGAGGACGTAGAGGCTGTCCGTCGACGGGAATACATAGGAGGTACACACTCGTATGCATGTGGACAACCACGCTTAAATATATTCCAACCAGTAGCTCCCGTTAGTTAGTTAACTAGGCTAACATCATAACTGATTACCTAACACGACTGCAACCCCTTTCGAAACGTTTGTCGTACATCCATACCAACTATAAATTCTAAAAAGACAAGGACGGAGCTAAAAAGGTGGATTCAGGCAGTGACACAGCGGGGGAGGAAGGCAGCCCTAATCTGGCGGGTGACGAAGGTTGGCCTTTTCCCAGTCTTGACGGCGCGGATCATCTGTCCAACTTAAACTTACTAGTCGCTTCTCCGACTCCATCAACATCAACTGCGTTCTTCTCAGGACACCACCCCGATTTCCCTTGTTTCCCTCGTTTCTCCCCACCGACGCTTTTATCGTCGATTTCCAATTGATACCCACGCCCTTTAATCTTCCCCACCAATTGCAATCCATCCAATCACTCCCTCATGGATCTGGACACAGGTGACTCCCCGTGGGGCGGTAAGCTGGCAATCATGAACAATACAAGCGCATCATATTCGACATATCTAACCCCAAGTATAGATGTTCCCTCGCAGTCCACCGGTACGTCAAGGCCAGAAACCGAAGATGCCAGTGCGTTCTCTCCAGAACTTAGATCCCTGTGGCAGCCCACCTCCTAACCGCATCATCCCGCAGCCCCGGAACAAACGTCACAACAAACCACTTCGACCGGTCCTCGTTCTCCCGTACGGCGCGGTCCGCGAGGTGTCCGCAAGATTAGCGCACATGCGACAAAATTGGAAGCAGTGGACGATACCCTGGACCCGCTTGGCCCGCTCGGGGACAAAGCCGACGAAACTAGCCCTGCAGTGGTCGAGCAAGCGCCTGTACCGCCTCAGAAGGAAGCATTTACTGCGCGCAATGTTCGGCCCACATCATCTGCGTCTCAGACATCTAGTGGCGCTGGCATGGTCGATTCTGTGAACCTTGAAGAAGACGGTGCGGGTTTTAGGAACCCTCCTCCTGTACAACCACCAAGCGACGCGGACAGCTCGAAGAGACAATCGGAGCCTAGCATTAGTATTGAGAAGGCAGCGAAACCGACTTTTGAGATTACCGTCGGTGACCCCCACAAAGTGGGAGATCTAACGAGTAGTCATATTGTTTATCAAGTCCGAACTAAGGTAAACCCTCCGTGCTTACGAATTGGGACTGCTTTGATATGCTGAAACTGGATCCAGACATCTTCTAAGGCCTATCGCCAGCCCGAATTTGCCGTTAGCCGCCGATACCGTGACTTCCTTTGGCTCTACAATTCAATGCATAATAACAATCCTGGCGTCGTTGTCCCTCCTCCTCCAGAGAAGCAGGCAGTTGGCCGTTTCGATACTAATTTCGTTGAATCCAGAAGGGCCGCGCTGGAGCGCATGCTTAACAAAATTGCCGCGCACCCTATCCTTCAGCATGATGGGGACCTGAAGATTTTCCTTGAGAGCGAAACATTTAATCTAGATATCAAGAACAAGGAGAATAGGGAACCGGATCTGGGTCAGAGCAAGGGTATGTTTAGCTCCTTCGGTATCAACGTGGGCGGAGGGTCTAAGTTTGTTGAGCATGATGATGTAAGTCCGTCTTCAATAGGTGCTGTGGAGTCGCCAGGTTAACCATCACCTTAGTGGTTCCATGATCGAAAGGTTTACTTGGATGCCTTGGAGAATCAGCTGAAGGCCCTGATGAAATCTATTGACACCGTAGTTGCACAACGGAAGGGACTTGCAGAAGCTGCTGGGGATTTCTCGGCATCCCTCCATGCGCTGGCAGCTGTTGAACTATCTCCCGCCCTCTCCTCCCCTCTCGACGGGCTCTCGGACCTACAGTTGCGCATAAAGGAACTATATGAGCGCCAGGCCCAGCAGGATGTCCTCACGCTCGGCATCACCATCGATGAATATCTCCGTCTGATTGGCAGTGTTAAGACAGCCTTCTCTCAGCGGCAGAAGGCGTTCCACAGCTGGCATGCAGCTGAGTCAGAAATGCAAAAACGCAAGAATACGCAAGAGAAGCTTCTCCGGCAAGGAAAGACACAGCAGGACCGCCTAAATCAGGTCAATGCCGATGTGGCCGATGCGGAACGCAAGGTCCATCAGGCGAGGCTGCTGTTCGAAGATATGGGAAGGCTAATGCGGAATGAGCTGCAGCGTTTTGAAAAGGAAAAGGTGGAGGATTTCAAGTCTGGTGTGGAAACCTTCTTAGAAAGCGCTGTTGAAGCCCAGAAGGAGGTATGTAAACGCAGTCTTAATGAACAGACTTCTTTGGTTACTGATACTTTTATTCCACAGCTCATCGAGCTCTGGGAGACCTTCCTATTGCAACTGGATGCGGGTGAAGAAGGTAACCCCTTCTATGCCCCTGCGGCTGTAGGGGATGATGCTCCCGCAGAGTCGGCGCCAGAGGGGACTACTGAAGCTGCCTCGAGCGCGGCTACCGAGAATGAAGCGTAGGCGCTCACATATTACCTCCATGACCTTTGATTGCCCTGTACCACAGGAAGGCCGCCGTCCCCTTTATTCCTCATTTGACATGTTCATCGGTCAACCGACAGGTGCTAGTCATTGTTACGATGTGGCGTGGTGCACGACTTGTTTCCTGAATTTATGGCAGTCTCCTTCAATTTTGCAGTCGGATTTACTGCGTTAACAATGTATCGATACCAGTAACTCGGAATTAATTCGAAATGACTTCTCTCCCTTGATAACCTTATCGCCTCGCTTCTTCAATATTCCTCTGGCGACCAATAGATGGTGACTCACGCCCATGCAAACTTCACAAGTTACTAAAGCTATCAAGAAAAGGTAGAAGAGGCAACCTGGAGGCACACGAACTCTCAATGCTAGAATCCCAACCAAATAGTATGATGTACTGTACATGAAAGCTTCAAAAGATGTAGACCATAAACGATGAGTAAATTATACAGAAACACCCCATAGTCCCGACATAACTCAGTTCTTCTTCTTCCCTGATGTCTGACCTTCCTCCTGACCGAACGAACTGATCAAGTCCAGCAAGTTATCCTCTTCCTCCTCTTCAGCAGCGGCTCTTGCCGCAGCCTCAGCCTGCTTATCCGTCTGCTCAGCCTTGTTGTTTGCTTCGGCCTCAGTAGGGGTATTCGCGTCCCAGCTCCGTCCGAATTTGGCTCTGAATGCTGCCAGTCGACCGGCCTCGTCCTCTTCGACATTCATCAACTTGCTCGATGATGGGTTCCACAGTAGGGAATTGCGCGTGTCACGGGTGGAGCGATAGACAGGGGCGGGAGACGTCGTGCGGTGAGTGAAGGTGCTGCCGTCCGACAGAGTGATGAGCTGAGTGAAGGTGTAGGGACGCTTAGGGCGTCGAAGGAGAGTCGCATGGCGGCATTGCGAACAGATGAAAGTGGTGGAGGTCTGGACCCGGGCAGCGGTGACCGCGCTGCGGCGGAGCGGGATGCTGAGTGTCATTGGGAAGTAGAGGAACAGACGGACTGAATTGAAGCGGACCGGGAGGATAGGGATCAGGTCGAGCTCGAATCAATCTGGAATGGCTGTTCGGCGGGAATCAGTTTATCGGAGGTTCTCAAGAAATTTGGCGGATCGGGACGCCGTTACGTAAGCATCAACGGGATGCCTTTTTCTTTTTCGGGGAAATCTGAGCATTTGTCTCTCTCCAGTTGTCTCGTCGCGCATTTCGCAAGAATGCTCGTCAATTGAAACGTTTTTGGAACAATATTCTCTAGAGGTTCATGATGACTCTGGAGGGATTCCATGGTTTTGTCCCCAGTTTATCTCCTGTTTTGTTACCCGTCGTTCCTTGAGCCCTTGAGCTTATCCGCTCTTCACCCGGCGGAATGAAGCTTTCATACTCTCGGCCTGCGGTTTCTATGAACCGGATTGTGAGCCAATTTAAAGGTGGGACTTGAGTGTTCTCTTCCGTCGCTGACTCCTTGCTAATCGTTCTTAACGGTCCAGGGTTCCAGTGTGGCTCTACTACTTATCTGCCTCTCCGAGCACAACAATGGCACTCCAGGAGAACAATCAGCAGCGCCGAAGCGACATCTCCAAGTACAAGGCCTCAACCCAGCAAGGAAATTGACACTCCTGATACCGGGAATCACACACTCTCTCTATCAGACCAAGTCCGCCTGTTGATGAGACGAGTGCCCTACCCCGTTGCCATTATCACAGCCACAGACCCCCATGAGCCTCTCGATAAAGCCTTCCGCGGAATGACCGTTTCATCGTTCAATACTGTGACACTGAACCCGGATCCGGCTATCTCTTTCAATGTACGACGACCATCCGAGACCCTGACGGCGCTCCAGTCATCCAAACGATTCCTTGTCCACCTATTAGCCCCCAGTCAGACGACAGCAGCCCTTGCTCGGGACTTTTCCAAAGGCAACCATAACCTGTCCATCGCAAGCGGGAAAGGCGATTTCGAATTCGTACCGCATACCTCTGCGTCTGGGGAGGCTCCCCCCAGACCGCTCCCGCTGCTCCGGAGGAAGGAAGCCGCGGATGCACCGGAGGGGGATTCCCTCTCAGATATTCCTTTCGTGTTTGAATGCCAACTTCATCCGAAAGAGATTGAAGTTAACGACCATACTATTGTGGTCGGGACCGTTGTAAGGGTCCTCTCAGAGCATCTGACGAGTCCAGAGGCGATTGCTAATGCGCACTCCGTCACCGATCTATGTTTAACATATGCCAACACCCGTTTTTGGGAAATGGGTCATGAGATTTAGACTTGCAGCTGGGCATAGCTATTTCTGAGTTTCAGGGCGAAGATGCTTTCTGCGTCCAAGGTCATATGTTTGGGTTCTAGATGAGTTCGGGTCCCATGCTCCGTACGTTTGGGGGCGTTTATATGTCATGGGCGACATTAGAACCTTCAGAAATAACGCTTGTTCGAGCACCTATGTATATAATATTTTCCTCTCATGGCAATTCTGTATATTATCCTGATACAAGTGAGACCATCACCAATCTCCTTGCTTTTGTTATACCTGAAAAACTACAACCGGCACATTATGATACAATCAGACACCCTAAACTGATACGCTATTTAGGTAACTAGTCTGTTCCGTATACACCTAGAATAAGAAGGTCTCGGCAAATATCCTTGTAATCAACAGAATCCATACGAATGACGTCATATCTAGAAGCACTCAAATACTACACCCAGCCTTAGGAGTCTCGTTCAATGAGGAGCAGGAAAGTCTCCCCCAAACCATTCATTGAAGGCCCCGAGATACTAGTTACATGGAGAGATAGGTGCGAGGGCGATCACAAGTGGTCAACTGTATTGGCATCTCGATGGGGCCCACACAAGAAGAAGATTTGAAAGTAGTCTGTTCCTGTTTTGGCCGTGTGCCAAAAAAAGAGAAGCCAGTTGTCATCTGTCTCACTTGGATAGGATGTTCTAATCGTCAACAGTCAACAAGGGACGCTGTTTCGCTTCTCAAATGCGTCCAGCGTACTGTATATGATGACTTCAGAACGAGTTTCCAATACGTCCTGTTCTGCACAAACGTCACTCACAAAGACCACTCATATAAAGTTTGGTTAGTAGCGAATGGCTCGCCATGTAATGTGTAGCTCGAGACTTGACACAGGATTCGATTGAAAGATTTCGATGACAAGACCACTCACTGGTCCAGACGTACTTCGAAACCCTCACACTACGAAAAGAACTGGCAGCTACCTGGCATGACTTGGACCCGAGTACAGAACTAGTAGCACTTTATTGAATTGAAGAGGCCATTGAACATGTGAGGGACGTTAGCGATCACGTTGATGAGATGCGGGCTTTGAAGTGGTCACTGGAAGCTTCCGGCTCGTTGATGGCGCTCTGTCGATTCTTGAGTGGGAGGACATTGCGCTTGGAAGAGCCGCAGCTATCTAGCAAGACGGTGAACTGCGTCTAGATGTTTAAAGGGGGAAGGGTACTAGAAGGGAGTCACGTCGTCGAAAGTTTTGGTCCGCTGATCGAAACTTTGTAACGGCAGGTTGTTATAGAAGTGACCAGACTTGACGAGGCCCCGTGATAAGCAATCATAATTACATACTGTCTGTTTAGGGCAGGAAATTCGGTCACAGTTGCGCTGAACTACTGTAATACGCTACGTAACACAACGTACACACGGAACGTAGGGGTGAAAAATCTACACAGGATACACGATTTTATTGATCACAGGCGAAGTAAAACCAGGGTGAAGCCGCAGGGTTAGATACATATTGTATGGCCTGGGAAAACCAAGACGATTTCAGCACCATGCCGGACGATCAACACAAGCAGAAAGGGGACCACATGTAATTTTGGAGTACCAAGTAGCATAACGACCACACTGGAGGTGTTTAACAGCCTAATGGCCTTTTCCAGTTGCAGAGCTGGGGCTACCACTGCCGCTACCACTTCCACCACTTCCACTTCCACTGGCACGGCTGCCTGCCTCGGGAACGGACTAGAGATTGGTCTCAAACCCAAGTTTGGAGCATTGCTCTCGGAACCGGAACTCCTTCTCTTATCGCCAACCTTCTCAGACAGATCAAACTGGAAGGGAGGACGACGGCTCGAATCGAAGAAATCAGAACCATATAGACTGCTGTGGCCCGATCGATTGGAGAAAGACCGGTCACGGTGAATGAAGTCCGATTCGAAGGGGGAGGCGGTATTGATGAGAGGCGAGGTCGGGAAGTGCTGCAAGTACGACGGTGCCTGCGTTGGACTAGTCGGGTGGGACGACGTGGGACCAATGGGGGACGAAGCATGCTGCAGAGGGCTGGACTTCAAAGGCGGGAAGCTAAGTCCAAGCAATGATCGGTTGCTGGAAGCGCTCGTTGTCAAAGCGCCCAGGGACAGGGTGGGTGCCTCGCTGAGGGGGTTGGTACCAGGTAAATTGCCCTCGGGAGTGAGCGGCGCCGAGTCCATGAGGATCTGTTGCTGCTGCTGCTGCTGGAGAGCTTGCTCGATAGCCACACACTGTTGCCAAAGTTGGTTGGTGCGCAACTGATACTCCTGAACTGACTGGCTAATGCTCGCAAACTGTTCATTGAAATTCGCTTCGAGTTTGGCCTGGTCCTGCTCTCTGGCAAACTGTTCCGCAGCGCGACGCTCTCTCTCGTTGAGTCCCTGTGCGTTAGCAGAAACGATACGCTCATACTGCTCATTAACCCTAGTGCGGCGACCTTGGAGACGTTCTCGTCTCTGAATCGTAGAGGTCAGATCAGACTCTAGCTGTGACACCTCACGAGCAGCAGCCGATCGAGCGGTGGCCACATCTTCCTTGGCTGAATTAAAGAGCTCAAGTTCATGTTCGTACTTTGCTTTTTCTGCCGACCATTCTTCAAGTTCCTCCTCTGGGATGTTCTCCAAATTATCCAACTGGACCTCCAAAACAGCGGTAGCTTCTTCCGTTTGCTTGATATTCCGTTCCAATTGCAAAGAGCGCTGTTTCTGCCGGTTTTCATCCGTGCCACTATGGAGACGATGGTTATAATTGTCCAACTCTTTCTTGATCTTTGAAACGACAAGTTTATGATCGTTCTTGGCCTTTCTCAACCGTGTGCGCTTCTCATTGAGTTTCAGTTCAGCGTTGACGATGGAATTTTTCAGCGTGGTCGTGGGGGACGATGGTCGATAGGATGGCTGTGGTGGAGTAGATACCGAGGAAACTACTGAGATAAGCGTTAGACTACTGGAGTGCTTCCCTAGAGGGTAGACGCCGTCTCACCTTGTTCCGCGTCATTTGCGATCGGTGTCTTCACACTCATGACGCAGATCTCTTCCTCCGTGTCACTGCGCAAGAAAGAGCAAGTGTAGGCACAATTGGGGGCGAGACCAGATATCTCACCACGCCAATGTACTACACTTGAACCCTTGGCTGCATCCTGAACTTTGCAAATCGTGACTGTCGCCCAAAGTGCGCCGTTGACGCAAACATAGAAAGGTTCCGTGTCTTCGCCCAACCGTCCAGATTCACAAGAACCGGAAACCCCAGCATCATCTGAGACGAGATCACCCGCCGCAAACTTGATAGATGAGCTATCAACATCGGTAATCCAAACAAGACCGTCATCCAAAGAAACACCCTGAAGATCCTCCTCGGTCATACTGAGGCCTCGAGCAGTTTTCGATAAGGCCCTAGAATGCTCGTACTCTCGCATAACTGTCACTTTCGTGCTTGCAAGCGCAGCCCAAAACGGTTGGCGATTCCGAACCTGGTTTGCCTGTCTCCTGCGTTTTTTCGCCGAAATCAATCGATCTCTACCATCCTTGTGCGTTGCTGGCGTAATAAGTTGTCCGTCGGCACCGATATAAGAAGACACACTAGTCCCAGACTCAAACGCAGAATCAATTTGAGTCTGGGAGCCAGCAGATGCCTCAGTATCAATACGTTTTCCAGTTCGAGGAGGAGCCGGTGCCCTATTTTTAGCCATTGAACGCCTAGCCATTGCGGTTC